AGAAGCTGTCAACCTGGTGTTCATCTTTTTTAAAGTTAAAAAATATTCAATTACCTTTTGCACTTATATGGCTCAGAAAAGGTCTTTTTTAGAAAAAGTGGCTTCCACGATCTTAAGACAGAATCAAAGGTCAATGCCGATCACGTAATTTCTAGCATTTACGAGAAAAATAAAGAAAAATAATCTTTGTAAAAAAAGTTTATGCTCCAAGCCCTGCAGTTCTCTGTCTTCTAGGGTGGGTTGTAATAGCCCCTAAAAGGAGCTTGTCTGGGGTATTTAGCTTTTAACCACAACAAGGTATTGTTTCTTTTAGCTATCTGTTTCAGCATCTGCTCCATCTCACGGGAAGGTCTTTGAGACTTTGTTTCAGGATTAGGTTACAGATAAAGTATGACAAGGGAAAAAAACCCGCTAATTTATATCCTCTTACGTGCATAGGAAAAAAATTGCAGAATTGTATATGTGCGCCATCGACCTAAGAGGGAACATAATCCGCTCTCAAACTACAGAGTGAGCACAACTTCTGTAGTGCGTGCAACAACTTTGACCTCCGTGTAATTACTCCAGGCTTACATCAATATAACAGTGCCGGGTTTCTCTTCAATTATTTCCCGGGAGTGGCAAGCTCTCTTCCCGCAGTGCTTATTTATTTCGAATTGGCCTAATTTGCTCAACAATTTGCACATCCCTTCTTTGGCATCCCACTTTTCCCCGGACGGCGGGAGCTGGGGCTGTCCGAGCCGTCCCGTCCGTGGCCGTCGGTCCCTGCCCCGGGGGAGCGGCCACGGAGTTCGGCACCTCCCAGCACCGACGGGCACCGAGCCCCCCCAAAGGAAACCACCACGGCGGGGGCCCGGCGCTGAGCAATTCTTACGGATGAGTAAGCAGCAAATGTGGTAACTCAGGCCAACAGCTCTGCAATTAGGGCTATAATTTCAGGTGTAGCCAGCAGTCGTAACGAATATTTATTTCATCGTCCCGAATAAAAGAAATGTCCTGACTAAACAGCATGGGGAGTCCTGTGGGGTAGCTTGCTTTGCAGAGTGGGGGTGCTACCAGCGGGGACCCACCTCGTCCCCTCCCGTTCCGAGTGGGACAGGTTCCCTCTCCCCGCGGTGCGCAGCCCTAGGCTCATGCCCTCGTTCCTGCCAGAGCCCAGCCCGGCCAAGGACCCTTCCCGGGAAGGAAGGGTAAGGAAGGCAGCGTGCAGCCAGCCGCCTTCCCGGGGCAGAGCCGGGCGCGATCGGAGCGCCCCGCGGGCGCGCTCGGGGCGGGGGGCTCGGGCTGGCGGGGGCAGGGCTGGGCTGAGCCGGGGCTCCGCGCCCCCCGCCCGCGCTGCGCCGCTCCGGGGCTCCCCTCTGCCAAAACACCCGCAAAGTGCCTTTTTGAGTCCGGCGGCTCCGCACCCCGGCGCGTTTGCGGGAGTGCCCTCGGGTTTTGCTCCGTGGCTGAAGAGGGTAGCAGAGGAAGAACGCGGGCGCGATGGGAGGCAGAGGCTGCACGGGGGGGCAGAGGCCCCTCCGGCTGCCCTAAGGTCTGCAGCCCCAGCGAGCGAGAGGGCGGCCCGGAGCGCCCGTCAGCCCCCGAGTCCTTATTGCTCCCTCTCCGCTGCCAGCCTCGCCGGGGCTCCCGCAAGCCAAGCGAGCGCCGCGGCTACCGACTGGCTGTTCCCGGGCGGACTCCGAGCCGCACGGATGCAATGCCCCGAGCGTCCGTCTCCGCCCGAGCCCCTCGACCGAAATCCGGGCGCCCGATTAAAGGTGCGAGGTCGGCGGCAGGCGATGTCGCGGCAGGACGACAGGCGGGGAGCGGGGCCGGGTCCTCCGCCCGCTCCCCGGCAGCATCCTAGCGAGGTCTGAGCCGTGCCGCGGACAAGCACAGCCTGAGTCTTTTGTGTGTGTGTGTGTTTGGATTTTGATTGGTTTTCTGTTTGGTTTTTCTTTTCTTCGTTTTGCGGTTTTTTGGGTGGCTTTTTTTTTGTTTTTTCTCTTTGGTCTGTATTTAAGTTACTGTGGAATGAGGAGGTGCGAGGCGTCGTAGCAGCTCGGTGGCGGTCCGTCCCTACCGAAAGAGCCGCTCCACACGCGGAGTGCTTTCTTTTTCGGGGATGGGGAGGTGGGACGGGCGCCGGAGGTGGCGGGGGAACCTCCGGGCAGGGGCGCACCTGCCCGGCGGCTCCCTCCCAGCGCCCGGCGCCCATCAGCGTTGCTCGACGGGACGGACCCGAGGTGAGCGGCGGGCGCGGTAAGTACCGCTCCTTTTCCCCGCGGTACCCCCTGAGCGCGACTCAGCCTCCTCCCCATCCATCGCAACCTCTCCCGCCCCTTCCCCGCCGCCGCCAGTGGGAGCGCGGCCCCTTTAAGAGCCCGGCTTTGCCTCCCGGTAGCTGAAGGTCATTAAAACACAAAAGCGCTCCAGCGCTGCGGTCCAATATAGCGCATGCGCCCTGCCCGAGGACTGGCAGGGAGACGGCAATATGGCGAGAATGCCTGGCAGCGGCGGCGGCGGCGGAGAGTGGAGCGGCGGCGGCGGAGGGGGCGGCGGACGCGGCGGAGGCGGCGGGAACAATGCGGGGGACCGGCCGTCCGGCCGCGGCGTCGCCCCCCGCCCGCACCGCTACTGCAGCGCCGGCGAGGAGGAGGAGGGCGAGGAGGAGGATGAGATCCAGGAGGTGCAGATAACGGGGGACGAGGAGGAGGAGGACGGAGCCGATGGGGGGCTGCTGCTGGACGAGGAGGAGGAGGAAGAGGAGATGGGTCTGGAGTGGGACGGCGAGGAGGAGACGGAGCCGCTGCCGCCCGCCCCGGGCCGTACGCCGGGCGGCGGCAGCAGCGGCGTCGGGGCTGCCCCGGGGGGCGCCGCGGCGGCTGCCCCGGGGGGCGGCGGCGGCGGCGGCCCCGGGGGGGCGGCGGAGGACGCGGAGCTGGAGGCGGCCCTGCTGCTGCAGCGGCCGGAGCGGGCGCGGCTGAGCGAGAACACGCGGCTGGCCACCCGCTACGCCGTGCGCATCTTCCGCGAGTACCTGAGCGAGAAGGCGCAGAGCCCCGACTTCGAGACCATGGACAAGGGGGCGCTCTGCCGGGTCCTGCGCTCCTTCTACGCCGAGGCGCGCTCCAAGAGCGGGCAGCTCTACTCCAAGTCGTCCCTCATCAGCATCCGCAGCTCCCTCAACCGCTACCTCAACGAGCCGCCCTACTGCCGCACCCTCGACCTCACCAAGGACCCCGAGCTCCGCGCCGCCAACCTCACCCTGGCCGCTGTCATCCGCAAGCTGGAGGAGCAGGGCGCCGGGCCGGTGGTGCAGAAGCAGGCCATCACCCGCGCCGACCTCCGCAAGCTCTACACGTGCAGCGTGTTCAGCACCCAGAGCCCCTTCGGGCTCCTCAACAAGGTCTGGTTTGAGACCTGTATGTACTTCTGCACCCGGGGCCGGGAGAACCAGCGGGAGCTGGAGGAGGACTCCTTTGGGCTGGCCGTGGATGAGGATGGACGCAAGTTCGTCTACTTCAAGGCACTGGGGCCCTACCACAAGTCACGCTCGTCCTCCTGGAGCAAGAAGCGGGCAGAGAGCAGTGACGAGGAGAACCTGCCTCGTATGTACGAGACTGGCACAGAGTTCTGCCCCTACGCCAGCTTTGTCAAGTACCTCTCTAAACGCAACCCCCTCTGCAAAGCCTTCTTCCAGCGCCCGCGGGACCACTGCAGCGAGGGTGACATCACCTGGTACGAGAACAAGGCCATCGGGAAGAACCTCCTGGGTACTCGCATGCAGATGCTCTCCAAGGCGGCCAAGCTCTCCAAGACCTACACCAACCACTGCATTGGTGCCGTCTCCATTGCCACCCTCAACAGTATCGCTGGCATTGGCACCAAGCTGGGAGGACTGCAGCCACCCCACCACCACCACCACCACCCCCCTCCCCACCACCACCACCTCCTCCACCACCCCGCTGGCGGGGGCTGCTACACCCCTGCCGCCCTCAATGGTGGACCTCAGCCGCGGCCACCCGCTGCCAACCCCTATGTGCTGCCCAAAGACGGTGACGCTGCGCCAGTGAAAGCAGAAGCGGCCGCGGTGGCCCCGGCCAAGCGGGCGCTCTACGAGGCAGTGTTCCCGGCAGGGGCTGCGGCCGGCGGCGACGCATGTGGCCCCTCTGCCTCCCCAAAAAGACTCTGCCGCCGCCCCGCCGAGCCCCTGGATGCCGCTGCGCCCGCCGTGGTGGTGGTCTCAGTGAAACATGACCCCTTGCCTCACCTCCTCCCCGAAGCAAATGGGCACAGAAGCACCACCTCACCCACAGTAGTTTCACCTGCTATTGTTTCCCCCACACAGGTAACCGGACAAAGGAAAAAAAAAAAAGTGGCAGCCCCTCACTTGCCCCACATAGTCTGCACTGCCCCCCTCCTTTCTTCCCCCAAGAATGGGCACCGAGGCACACTGCCAGCATTGGGGTGGCTCTTGGGGTCACGCTCACTCTTCAGGCACCCAAAGAGCTCGGATGCGAGTTATCCAACTTACTTGCCCCCCCAATCTCTTCATGCCCTGCCACCGGTCCAGTGGCCACTCACTGTGTGCCTGGGTGTTGGACTTGATTGGTGCCTGGGTGCTGCCGTGCTCCCCCTCAGCAGCAGTACCGACAGCTCAGCCCTATGGGCTCCTCTTTTCCTCCTTTTTATTTATTTTCCCCATCTTTTATTTCTCTTCTTGCGGAAGATGTGACTTATGAAAGTCGGGCCAGGATAGTAGATAGGGGCATCAGGTATCATTAGTGTGTGTGGTGTTCTTGATGTGCTAATGAACTATTTGAATAACCTCAAATGCAGGAAACAGCCGGGAGAATACTCAATTACACACTAGTAATGAGGGTGTAATTTTAAACTTCAGAAGTTAACAAGAGGGTTAATATGGCAATTGCATTCATCTTGTATTTGTTTATTTAAAATAGCTCTGTTTTCTGGCAGGGATCCCTTTTTTTTTTTTTTTTTTTAAGGCAAATTGGCTTTAGTTGCATTAGTTACCATAGTGGCGAAATATACAGTAAGAGCACAATTAAACGGGTTTAGGTGCAGCTTAGCTGTGGAATGAGCCCAAATTCGTTAGATGCATTTCGTTAAGGTAAAACGGTGTTGTCGAAAACGCTGTTGAGCTGTGCCTTAATGTGTGCCTTGCAGAGCCCCCTCTGCTGTGTGCCAGCACGTGCTGGTGCCTGCTCCCCATCCCCTCCAAAAGTACTTTCCTCTCGGGTGTTTGAGCGCCGGAGCTAAATTACTTCAATTAAAGACTCACTGCACCGCTGCAATTGGCTTGAAGTTTGGAAGTCATTCTAACTGAATCTGTAAAGCGCATGCAGTTACGTTGTGCCCCATAAAATACCGCGTTTCAGGCAAGAACTTTACTGCTGGCTGCCCTACATGATTACAAAACCCCTCTGACATTCTTGTGTCAAGTAATAACAGGGATCGCAGCCGTCAGCCAGAGAGCGCGGCGCTGGGCAAGCACAGGTATATGACATGCCTGAGCTGTTTCCCGAGTGGAAATACCAGTTCTGGACAGACTGACCCTTTCAAAGAGCTTGCCAACTGATCAACCTGCCTGAAGGCTAATTGGGGTGGGGAAGGGGAGGGCAGGGCTCCCAGTGAATGCCTGCATAAGCATCTATGTTCTTTAAGATACCTGTGACCTCTCCTTTCTTTCAGGGAGGCTTTTTTTGGACCACTTCGGTGGAGTACTGTAGCTTGATCTCCTGCTGTGTGTATCTGGTGTCTCTGAATGGCTTAGAGGCTTGATTATGTGCAGATAATGTTTTTGTTCTAGCTCATTATTTCGGGTAAAAGCTAATGCTCGTCGCTGTATTTAACCCTAGATTCCTCTTCCCCGTGCTTTTAATGATCTTGAAAGTAATTTTGAGACTTCGAGCATGGTTTAGTTTTTTAGGAGGAGCACCGCACGTGCGTCTGGGAATAAGAGGGAACTGGGCAGAGCAGTCAGTGATCACGGAGTGTGTGTGTGTCTTTAACCTGTTAAATGAGATGTCTTGGTACTTTCAGTTGTCAGACTAGAGAACTCGATCTCTACCCTGGCCCACAAATCCCTTCACACTTGCATAAAGCTTAGGCGAGGAGAAATCCAGCTGCTGTCGCGTTTGTTGCAAAGCTGTGCTTCCTACGGGAAGCGTTCGGAGCTGTAATTCTCATTAACAGCGGGCTGTGGGGAGAAAGGGAGAAATAGTTAAAAGAGACTACATAGGCATCTGCTGTTTTCCTAAGTGTATCAAGAGAGAAAATGAGCAATCAGCAAGGGTACTAGAATTAGACAGTGTGGGTTTTTTTCAGTAATTATATGGAAATGTTTACCTCCATTCACAATTTCATGAGTTAACAAGGTGCCCAGTCAGTTTTGTAGCTGAATCTTGTCTTTGCTACAAACGTCATTAATTTAAATCTTTAAGAGAAAAAAAGTCTCTCGCTCTCTTTTTTTTTTTTCCCCTTTTTCATCACCAATTTTTCTGTGTCAGTTTTAACTTACGCACTTTTGAGATGTGACAAAATGAAAAAATACTGGCTGTGGAATGGATTTCCTTGGGAGAATGTTAATGCTAAACTTTTTCTCTCTAGCTACCTTTTATGATACTTACACTAATCGAGGTCCAGGGCATTTCCTGGGGAAATTAATGACTGGCTGAGGTTAATGGCCCAAGGCATTGCCTCAAGCCATTGACTCTCCCAGCCGGTCATTAATCCCCAGGAAATGCCCTGGCCCTCAATCGTTACTGTTTAATTATAAACAAAGAGTTTCTAGGCCTTTTTACTGAATATATCTCTTCAAGTACCATGACACTAAATTCCACTGTTGACAAATAGTACTGATTCCTTGAAAACATGAAGGTCATAAGTTTGTGGTTTATTGGTTGTCTTTGTAATTAGTCTTCCAGGGGACAGATTCTGCTGAACTCATGCATTTGTGCAATACTCTGGTGAAAAAGTGGTGGCATAATGTGTAGGTTTCTTAGCATCTTTATACTGTGCGTTTTGGGCTTTGTTTTTTGTTTTTGTTTTTTTTTTTTTAAATAGCATTAAGCAAAGTGTGGAAAATGAAAGTTCTAAATGCAGTGTCTTTAATTTGCATTGACTATCTGAGCAAGAATGTTAATTTTATGCTTTTGTGTTGTAGCTCCTATTTTTCGTTTTAGCCTCAAATTGTCTTTTCAACACTGAGTTTGTAGGAGCCTCTTCCAGAGCTCAGGAAAGGTACATTAAATGTTCATCTTGATCCAGCTATTGCTTTAGGTTTTAGCCTTAAGAGCAGCATTTATAGTGTATTTTAAGCATACAGCGCTGCCATCGTGGCACAACTTTCTTTTCAGTCCTTATTTGCTCTGAAGTGTAGCAATTTTCCTGCCACTGACAGCAGTACTTCAGTTCAAGTTGATGACAGAGAGATGTAATTTGGCTGTTGTTCATCTCCCATGTTGCTGAAAGATGAACAATAGCTAAAGCTTAAACTTTTGATGCTACAATGTGGTGGTAGCTTTTGGGTTTTATAGATCTAGTACATGCTGAACTTACTACAGTAGTAATACCCAAAAATAGGTGTAGGAAAATAGTTTGGCCTCTGCCATGGGGGAGGAGATTTGCCTGTCACTTGCAAATGCTTTGGTTACATTTGTTTTGTTTCTCTGTTGGGTTTCTCTGGGCTGTTTGTGAAGAATTTATTAGCTATTAAGATATCTACCAAAAGCTTGGTCATTAAAACCTGAGCCATGGACATTTGTTGTAGCTGTTTTGGGGAATCCTGAAATGCCTTTTTTTTTCTTCTGCTTTAAATTCAGAGTTGCCCTTTTTGCTGTCTTTTGATCTGGCACATGTCTTTTCATTGCCTTACGTTCTCTTTGAAGGGCTTACTTTGACCCAAACCAGAAATCTAGTTCTGGCTGCAGGTTTTGCAAAAGAAGGCAGAACAATAGCACGTGAGGGATACGAGTAGGCAGTAGGCACAACCGGGAGCAAATCAAAAGTAGCTAACAAGTCTAGCCCTTTTTGGTCTTGGATTTTGGAGGAAGTGGAAAAGGATCTCTCTGCTTGATCTTTGATCTGGGAACATCCTGCACGTTCCTTAAATGGCCACAAAATAGATTTGTGTTTTGTACAAATATCTCTGGTACTCTGACTAGAATCGTTGCTAGGTGCTTTCCCAGTAGGCAGGGCTGGAGAACTCATCAGGTAGCTTCAGGGAAGGATGCTTAGGATAGTGGTGTAAAGATGCTAGGCTTTATTTCTACCAGGGTAATAGATGGAGCAATATCCCTATCTTAAGGGCTTGAAGTACAGTGGCTATTAAGACTGATGACTGCTAAATACCTTGTTAGTTCTTGTGACAGTACTACTGTTGATCAGGTTTCAGAGGTTAGTGCTGGCTGCCCTACTGCGTACTTAGTGCTCTTCTCTTTGATTACTGCATTATCCCAGGTTGCAAGAAAGTCCACAATTTCCTAGGTGTCTTTTTTAAGAGAAGCTCTGAGGTTAAAATCGTAGAAGGTAAGGGTTAAAGAAACTTTAATTCATGATTTAAGGAACTGTATCTACCTTAGAAGCTACTGTTTGTTACTTTGTTACTTATGGGTTTTTTACTGAGGGTGATATTTCATCTTCTGCTAAGTTACAGATGTGGAAAGTAGATCTGTAGAAGGGACTGTTGTACCTGATAGTCCCCAAAATTGCTCTGAAATCGTTGGAGAACAGGGGAATAAAGTAGTAGTGATGTCAAGTATGGTCCCCAAAGCTTTCATGTCAATCTCCGGAGAGAAATGCAGGAATCCTGGCTATTGCTCTTTTGGGTGGAAGTCACTGTTGTTTGTAACTGAGTGCTTCTGAAGATTGTTGAAGAGAGATAGGATTTTTCTTTTTAAGGAAGTAGGATATCCCAGACTACGTTTCTTATAATGAACATGAAGCTTGGTAGGCATGTGAGTGTTTCTCAAGACGAGAACAAGACAAGCACAACAGAGATGAAGCTTAGTGGTTGGTGGCAGTACATGCACTGACAGGAATGAAGGGAACTGGTTTTTCTTTCCTAGACTGAGGTTGGTCCATGTTGAATGGGCTGTTAGGGAGGGAGTTGATTTAAGGTGACTTGAGAGAGTATTTCAGAGTAGATCTAAGAATGGTGTTTTAATATATGCATTTAGAGTGGTGGCTGTGAAGCTAAAGCTCCAGTACTTTGTAGGTCCAGTGTCTTTGTAGGTCCTCTTTGTTGCATTGGCATGATATGTTAGAGGTATTAAATCATGTAACTATTTCAGCTGGTGATTTCTACTGATTTCCTTAATTTTTCAAAATATTTTTCATTTTTAGAAATTAGATTCATTTTATTTTGTTGTATCACATGAGCTGGTTGGAGAACTTGCTTTGTCCAGCCTTCAGTGATGGCAGGAATGCAAGAGGTGACCAGTTCCTTGTAGCTCAAATGAATATGACCTTTTTAATACAATGAGGAGAATAAAACATCAGTGAAGTGCTGCTGTATTTTTACACTCTTTTACATCCTGTAGAATCTGAAATGACTATGTTGGTACTCTATGCACATCAAAGATAAAATGCACAAGCTTAAAGGCAGCAGAGAGCTGATTTCTTTTTTTCTTTTTTTCTTTTTTTAATAAAAAGTATTCTGTGATTATCCTGTAAAAGATTTCCCATTGCCCACTGCTCTGTTTCTAGAGAGCAAGAGATCAGAAACTGCTCAGTCTAATTGGTGAGTCTGTATGACAGGGAGCTGCCTTATTTCATGTATGGTGTAGAAATAAATGAGTGCTTAAACCCTTTGAAACACACCACTACTGCAAAAGCCATAGGCTGTAATTAAATTGAATGTGGGGTTGTATTGTCTTGTGCCCTTGGCTATAAACTTGATAACAGGCCATGGTACCCCCACTATTGTGTTCGAAGCTGGAACCTAATTAGAGATGTTGTAGATTTTCAGTCACTTTCGAAGCCCTTCTGTTCATCTCATTCCCTGTGTCCTTTCTTATTATTTTGCTTTTCTGTTTCTGAACCAACAAATGCACCCTTCTTTTCAGAAGGAAATTGTTAAGGGCATGTAGCCAAATATGTATGTGCAAGATAATTTTTTTTATCATATTTTGGATTCAAGGGACAAGTGTTGGTAACTGCATTTTATCTGATGTGGAAGAGATTTATTAGTGTAGAGACAGTAAAAATATATAATCATGTTTCCAGGGAATACTTTCTTATTCTTCCAGGCATTAGAATGGGGAATAAGGAAGGGATTGGAACTTCTCGTAATACCTTGATCTAAAAGTAACATTGGAAGACGTACAATTGAATTCTGTTCTTTTTTTGGGGGGGATTATCAACAAGGAAAAATGGCATTTCTGGGCTTTTAGAAATTTACATGCTTTGCACTCAACCAGTTTTAGTTGATCTGAAAACCTTCAAACTTGCTAAGGACTTTATCCCCGATGAGAACAAGTACCTTTGATGTATTC